GAATACAAGCAACTGTCTAAATCTTCATCAATAAGAAAAGTGGGGAAAGGCTTCAACTTGAACTTCAGCTTGAACTTTCAATGGAAGAGCAAGAGCTACACTCACTTTATTTACCATTGAAAAGCGTGGCCGGTACTGTAAATTTCTTACACTTCTGATGTTCTGTTCCATTGGACTGTATTTATATATATATATTTTATCATCATAGAGAACCATAAATGTACAGCCCTTTTGTAATATGTGGGCTATTTTTCTGGATTGTCACAATTACATAATTTCTGTATATATATACATTTTTAATTAAGCCCCTTCAAAATTGTCAAAATTTCATTAATTCTCCAATTATTTTGAAGAAAAAAAAGAAATCTCATTAAATCCCTCAAAATTTTCAGGTAAGCCCCCAAATTATTGAAAATTTTGATTAGCTCCTCCAAATTATCATGTTGAGATCCTTGGTTCAGATGCGACTAGGTTGCAAATGAGACGAGACAGATCGTGAGTTACTCGAGATCGATTCGATCAAAGCTCGATAAATACTCAACTCGAGTTATTAACGAGCCGAAACGAATTACTTGATACTCGACTCGAAATGCTCGCAAACAACTCGAAAATATAATATATTAAGATTTTATTAAAAAATAAATTATAAATAATATTAACATTTATGTGTTTTTTTAAATAAAAAATACAGTATAAGATTTTTGTTTCATTTCGAGTTTTTTCGAGCTTCAATTTATGTTTTAAGTTCGAGTCGAGCTTGAAAATTTCAGACTCGTGAATTTACGAACCTAGTCGAGCTCCATTTTTCAGAGTTTTGATAATATTTATGAGTAAGGATGACTCGTGATATTTAATAATCTTACGGTTGATAAAATATCGATACAAAAAGTAAGATAAATGGTACACTAAAATTTATGATAATAAATTCAATCAAAAATTTAATTTATAGATAATAGATATCCTTATAATTTTAGAATCATTGTCCTAAATAAAAACGTATTCTATCTTTGTAGAAAATAATTATGAATCAGTAAATATCTGAAAATATAAAATATACTAATAAAAATGATGTAATTATAGTTTGATATTACAATTTTTTATACATTTTAGCGGGAATAACAAAGGATTTCCAATTTGGTCCCAGATATTGATCTTCACGTGGCCAAATAATAAAGTGCCACGAATCACTCTCCTCTACTTGTGTAAATTAGTGAAAACTTAAAGGGTAAAGTACACCAAAGGTTACTGAATTATGCTCAAACGATTGTTTTGTCAATAAACTTTTAAAAATTATAATAGTCATTAAATTTAGGCTTAACTATAGAATAAGTGCTCAAACTATATCGCTTTTCTGAAATAGGAGCCTAAACTATTTTTTTGAATCGTTCAGGTGTCTAACGTTACAAACGTTACCATTTTATGTACATGAGACGTAACTACCGTTAATAATAAGTGACATGTGTCATGCTTTGGTATTTATTAAATTTTAAAAAATATTATATTTATAAAAAAAACCTTATTTTTTAAAATTACAAAAAAATCTTAAAACCCTAACCCTAACCCTCCCTTGCTAGCCATGGTCGCTGTCATCGATGCCACCTTTTCCATCTCCCTAATCGGCTGTCGTTTCCCTTGCCATCGTGTGTGTCATTAGATTGCTTAGATATTGCGAATTTGGGGATTTGAATTTGTCGAAGACATGGTTTTGAGTCGTGATTTTGTCACTTCCTTTGTCACCAACGCATCGTTTATGATCGGAGGGTGAAGGTTCTGGTAGAGGTCCGATCGACGTCAAATAGCAACGAACGACGTGGGTTTAGGGATTAAAATTGAAGTTTTCAAAGTTTTGAGATTTTTTAAAGTTTTTCTAAAATTTTGGATTTTTTAAAAAATATATATAATATTATTTTTATTTTAAATAAATTTTTTAAAGTTACCAAACATAACACATGTCACTAACGATAAAATTTAATAATCATTACAACCCGATAACCTAAAGTGGTAATGTTTGTAACGTTAGGCACCTGGATGATTCAAAAAAAATTGGGCACCTATTTCGAAAAAATGTATAGTTTGGGTGTTATTTTATAATTAAACCTTAAATTAACAAACCGTTACAAAATGATTAATATTTTTTATCGATATGTTACAAAATAATTATTACATTTTATCGAATTGTTACACTTATTATTGCGGGTCGTCTTTCGGGTGGTCCGAATTGGGCTTCGACTTGGATTAAACGAATTGGAGTCGGCACCGATCATTTATTTTAAAACAAATGGGTTATAGGATACCCTATTTCTTACCTGATCTGCGTCTTTCCAAAGATGTGTCGGATTCAGGAGTCGGTTATAGTCAAAAAAGGGTTAGTACCCTTGAACTGCCCTTTCGGTACTACGCAATTTCCAGTTGTCTTAAATTAAGAAAATTATAATTTAAAATTAAAAGGTAAAAATACGATCTTAATTACTTACCTTAGATAGTTTTAAAGGTGTACCCTTAAGAGAGCAAAAAACATATTAGATAAAAATGTAAGAAATAATTAAATTAAATTAAAATAAGAAAAAAAATTAAATAAAAGATAAGATAAAGAAACAAAGATAAAAGTAAGTAATAAAAAAAATATATAAAAAGAAAGAAAAAGAAGAAAAATATAAAAATAAATAAAATAATAATAAAAAAGAAAAAATAATATATTATATAATAAAATAAAAAAATAATAATATATAATAAATAAAACGGATAATAAAAATATATAATATATATATATATATATATATCTATATATATATAATCTAAAAAAATAAAAATATATACTAAAGTAAAAAAATGCATAAATAAAAATTACATGAAAAAAATAACAAAACAATTAAATAGAATGGGTAATAAAGAAAATGTGTGTATAAATAAAGTTAAATAAATAAAATAATAATAATTAAAACGTAAATATAAGGGACCGAATCAAAAGGAAAAATAAATCGAAGGGTAAATTTCGAAGAAAAAATTGATTTAGGGGGAGAATTAAATATTTAAAAATAGGAACACGCCTCGGGGTAGATCTAGTTTCGAAATTTCGAAACCCACTCTTTTTTGGTCATCGGCGCAACCCACTTTTTAGGTTATTCGAACCAAATCTCAAGAAAAATAACATGCACATGCGAGAAATGAACGAATCAATGTAAAGAAGATGTTACCTTTTTTTCCTTTTCAAATCGTTTACAATAGCTTTGCCTTAGTATTTTTTCATGCTTTCCTCTGTATATTGTATGTAAATCGTGTGTTACAATAGTGATTTACATGGCTATTTATAATGCTTGTGGAACTTATTTTTAGAAGTTTGAATCATAGTAAAACTTTATCCTATTTTTAGGAGTTTGAATCTTAGTAAAATCTATCATATTTTTAGGAGTTTGAATCCTACTAAAACTCTAACGTTTGTTTTCTGAATCGCACTAAATCAGAATTGTTGAGAGTGTTGTACCTATAACATCGTAGTGATTATTTTATAACAATTTTATAACTTTAATAATTATTTTAAATTAACTAAAATATTAAATTGAGCATAGTTCAGTGACTTTTGATGTACTTTAATCAAAGTTAAAAAAAAAAGAATTCAACTAAAAAAGCATGGAACAGCAATTGGATTCTCTAATATTGGCAATGGAACCACAAGCATGAAAAGAATATTCAGTGAAATTTGCTCTCATCACTTTCAAGCTCACTCACCGGTAAATCTTGTTTCTACTCTTGCATTAAAATGGCTGAAATATTGGGTGTTCATCAATTGATTGATTTCGAGGAATTCTTTTTTTTTTTCAATGTTGAATGAAAAATGAAAAGAATGCCTAAACAGGAAACTTGGATCGGTAACTTTCCGGTTCCTTTGGATACTTTCCTTGGTGAATTTGTTTGTTTAAGTAGTATTCTTTACTTTTTCTTCGATGGCAAGACTTGTTTGTGATTGTTTTTTGAGTTCTGGGTTTGCATTAAGAATCGTGTTTTCTTCTTGCCTTTTCATTGCTGCAATCATTACGGAATTCGGCGCAGGTTCTTTTTCTTTGAACTTTTTTTATTTGCGTTGTTGATTTTGTCGAAATCGAAACATTGAAGCTTAAGGAGGGTCTTTTCTTTTTCGATCTTTGGAAAGTTTGAGCAAAGAATTTGATTTATTTGTTCTCATATGCTTCGTTTTTTAGGGTTTTAACTTGGGAATTCTGGGATTCTACAAAATTCAATATATATATATATATATATATGGGTTATGATCTACCTGCACAATATGTGAAACTAATAAATTTAAGACCGTTGAGCGGAAATAGAAGGTGGAGATTAATTTCTTATTTTTTCGAGTTAATATATTCTCATTTCCTATTGTTAATCTCAATCTTCTATTCCTACTCATCGAACTGTTTTAAATTTGTGTAAAACTAAAAAATTATATATATAATGCTTTCTTCGTTTTGGTGAATTTCTTGATAATGTTTTTCAGATTGTTTGGGCTGCAAAACCTATTATGATCATAGTTGTCTCTAATTCCATATGTATTGAATCTGTTTTATGTTCGAACTTATGCATGGTTGAGAATCTATTTGTTTTGACACAATGCATGTGATTTGAGTATTTTTAGCTTGTTTTTCAATGCAGGCATTCCCCGTGACGGGCTATGTCTGTTCCGCTGGGTGATTCATGTTGCTTGGCTGAGGTCAGGGAAGCAGTCTCCAAGTGAGAGCTGTCAGAAGGATCTTGCTGATGAACTCATAACGTAGGGTGTTTGATTCCATTCACATCAAAGCATCATTTGGTTTTTTAGTTGTACTTGCTACTGAATTCGATATAACTCGGATGGAATTTGTCATAATTTGATTTTTCCGCTGTCAATATTCGGTTTTTGTGTTAGCTGCAGATGTCTTCCTTGCTTTTAACTTCTTTTTGGCATACATTTTCAGCATAGTGCAACTGGAATGTGTTAACCGAATTTGTTTCTATTTAAAATCTGTCTGTATTGCTTTATCTTCGTTTCAGAACACATTCAACCTATCGGCAGATCGGTTTACCTGCATTTTCTTTTTATGAATTCCATTTCCATCTTGTGTTTAGCTGGAGATGTCTTTCTGCTGTGACTTTGCATTGGCACTCAGTAAAAGATTATTTGTTTCGACAGGTTGTTGACAAATTCATCAAGAGGCGGGCCGACACCGAATGGTAAGCATTTTTTCTTCACATATGAACTATTGTAGCCACAAGTAGGAGAGTTAAGGCTATATCCTGAGATAAACCGATCCAAATTCTTGATTAGCATCTCCCTGTCGATTCATTGACACTACACGCAAGTAAATCTTCACACTTTTTGCAGGTTCCTCGAGGGTGATTTCGACAACTATGTCGTGCAGATGCGGCAGCCTCATATATGGGGAGGAGAACCTGAGTTGCTCATGTACTCACATTTCCTACAGTGAGTTTTCCTTTCTTTTAGCTTTCTACATCAAAAATTTACAATTACACTTTTCTGTTATCAGTAAATCAAACTTTTCTTATCTGTCAAATAGATATTTCATCTACAGGACCCCTATAACACTTTACACGAGGGACAAGAATTCGGGTACCCTCAAAATTATATCCGAGTATGGTCAGGAATACGGTAAGGAAAACCCCATCCGAGTTCTGTATCATGGTTATGGACACTATGATGTATTGACGAGTCCTGTAAGCAGTGCTTCTTCTAAGCCGTAAGATATCTTGTTTCACTAGTTTTATACTGTTTTTTCAGCCTTCAAATGGTACCTATATTAATCACGTATAAGTTCATATACTCTGATCATCGGAATTAGAAATAGTTTGAACCCGAAGCTTAACTCAACTGGTTCATGCAGTCGCACTTGACTATAACGACTTCGAATAAATTACCGAGACTGATAGTTGTCTTGTTGCCGGTTTTCGCAGGTGGAAGAAGAGATGACTTGGGGGTAATTGCACTATAAAACAGGTAGGGATGGTAATAGGACCCGAACCTAACTCGATCGGGTTGGTTTTTTTTTAAATCGGATTCGAGTCGGGTCGGATTTTTTTAAAGGCGATGTTATTCGGGTTTAGGGTGAAAATACCCGACCCGACCCAAAAAAAACATAATTTTACCTTATATATTTAGTAATAATTACAATAATATCATTCTATGTATTATTTTATTCAATAATTTTTTTTTCAATTAAATCACTGTTTTTATTGAATAAAATAATATTTTTTTTTTATTATTTCGGGTCGGGTCGGGTGAAAGATGTAAAATTTTTGGGTCGGGTAGGCCGAAACCCGACCTATGCCCATCCCTAAAAACAGGAAATACTAGGAATACTGTGGTGATAGTGGCCTTTGTGAATGTAATGAAATGAAACTCTTTTCAGGTGTAAATTACACTCATTCATGGATTCAGAATATAATAAGTCAATATAATTATGATAGATAAAATTCTTTGTATAAACAAGATGCTGATGATGGGAAAGATCAAGGAAATTAACCCATAAAGCCACATCACATGTAAAGAATATTTCAAGGTATCTTGGCAATCATCTTCCTTTTATTAGCAACCATGCAATAGGCGATACAGATTTGTAGTTTGTAACATGTGTACGATGATGTAACGGAAAATACCAATTTTTACTCGACTCTGACGAAACTTGGCAACTTAATACACCAGCCTATGATCACATGCATATATACAGAAATATGTTTGGTGAAAGTACGGGGGGAGGGAAAAGAAACATTGCTACTCACCATCTTTCCATATCTCTCGGATGAGCTGATATCTAACAACTTTCCGGCCTCCCTTTCCCATTTTCATCCAGTTGGGTTCTTTTGAAGTGGGAGAACCCTGAGGGTTCTCGATCATGATCGCTGTAATGGGCGAATCTAATTCATCAAGCTCATCATCACTAGTGTATGATTTTCTAAGCGCAGATGATTGACTCCGTTCCATGGCTTGATTTCCTATAATGTCTGTTAGGGAAGTTGCAGAAGGTGGAGAATAGGCTATAGGAGAAGCCATACGTGGGAAGTTTGTGATAGATTCTTCCCCGGCCTCGGAAAGGTCCTGAATAAGAGAGAAAAAAGATCAATCTAGGAACAAGAAAGCCGAGCACAACAAACTTGCAACTTTGCAGAGTGACGAATGAACTGGAAAGTTGTATTTTAAGCAAAACTTTGTATATTGTTTATGACAAACCTCCTCCAATGCTTCAAAAACTGCCTGTGAAACTGGATTCGGGTTGAATTCGTCGGGTACAAAATTGTTAAGAACCCTTGTGATCAGGGGGACACTGAACTTGGGACATACCTTCAGCATTAAATTTCAAAGGGAAGATGAGATTAACAGAAATAGAGAAGTGACAGAGTAATGAGCTACAAAAGAATATATATATAGACATTGCTATGGAAATTAAAATAAACGTTTTAATAATTCCATGATTATACCTCTTTCCTTGTGGAACTATCCACAAGCATGTCAGATGGTAGCATCATGAGATCACTCAATGCGTTTAGGAGGGAAAAAGCCTTGAAGGAACCCTCACATACAGCATTTTTGCTCTCACCTACTTCGTTTTCGGTGCTATCTTCGTGACTCTCACTGTCATCTATACCAAATAGATCCGATAACCATCTCGACCAGTTTCCGATCTGGTAACAGAGGCAGCAGAAAAAAGGATACTTTCAATAAAATGGCAGAAATGTAATAAACTTCTACGTTCTTCCATCATTATTCAAGCAACTTCAGTGAAGCAATTTCAAACCCTAATACCATTATTTTATTATCCGTTGACATAACATTTGGAGCAAGAAATCGCAAGGTACAAACATTTAGCTACTTTAAATGAGGAAAAATTATGTGACTGTCAAACAAGACCAGACCTTGCACATCAAGGGGGCAATGAAGTATTAAAGTAGCTACAAAAAAGAGAACCCATTACTCACAGAATTTTTTAGTAGTACACCTGCCCCGAAACTTGATCTGCCTGAAGGAATAGGAAGAACCTTTGAATCGCTAATTGGATCAGAAATGGGATCTGTTGGCATTTCATCATCTGATTCACGAAGAATAGCATTGAACATTGCACATCTAATCTGCCCACCAATTGCTCCATTACCTAGTGATGGAACAGACAACAATGTTTCTATCAAATTTGCATTTCAACGGCATTATCAATTAGATAATAAAATCATAAGACACAAGGACATTGCCTCATTTTTTAACAAAGAGACATTGTGATGAACATGAATAAGCATAGGATCCAAGACTAAGTTTTGTATACATGCATGAAAACAAAGTATATAGTATATCATAATACCAATTTAGCCAACACAGCTAAGCACCCGCATTTGTGCCCACATGCTCGAACGGGACAAAGCCTCTCACAGGTATCTTTAAAAGCTTTCTTCCAAAGCTCAAATGAAAATTTTTCCTGCTCTTGATCACCTAATCCATGTTTTCTGCTTGAGGTTTTCCTTGATCTTGGGCACTTTGCGGCAGCAGATTGCATATATGGAGTCAAAGTCTGCCACCAGACAGATTCGATTATTCTGGAGAAGATCCAAGCTTCAAACTTTTGCAATGCATGTAAAAATGTCTGAGGGTCCACCCAGTCATCTGAACTTTCTGAACACAGCTGCATTTCCCCAATAGTGTGGCTAACAGTTGCTCTCAATACAATTGAATTTGATAACCAGAAGGTTAACCTATGAAAATGGAAAAGAAAAGGTGCAAAAGGGAGAAGCATTACACCACCAATGACTAAATTTGGACAACATGCAAACCAAATTAACATCTTTGAAAAAGCAAAGGTGGAAGCTAAAATCTCCCAGATTCGTTTTCTAAAAGGAAAAAGATTACGGAAAGTTTTAGCACACACCTTGGAACATCATGTCCACATGCTTTAGAGACCAAAACCAATCCAGAAATAGCAGCCCTTGCTGCACTTGCCCTCTTATCTTGGGTATTTGCACTACAGGCATGAAGATAGAATCTAGAAAGTCGCCTAGCTGGAGCATGAACCTTGTTTGTAGAACCTCCATGCTCTGCAACAACAGAATAAAGACTAGCCTCAAGAACAGCAGCTTCTATTAATTCTTCTTCAAGCATTTCAATTTTGGAGTCCAGTTCAACATTGCTTTTGGAAAAGCTCTTTGCATTTTCTGTTATTTCATTACACGTATTACTTGTAGGACTACTATGCATCTCTTCAGAAACATCATTTTCATTTGTCTTGTCCTTGACCTGAGTTTTCTTTAGCAGCCCATAACCGTTATCCGAGTCAGCTTTACTGTTAGTTTCTTCCTTTTCACCAAGTATATCGCTTGTGGTACCATTAGAAGTCTTTTCAGGGATAGAGTTATCCTCCGCCTTTTCCATGAACTGGACCTTTGAGGGTCCGTTACTCTTAGCTTCGTCAACATGCAACTGAACAGGTTTCAAGTTCTTTTGTCTAAGACCTAACCTATCCTGCAGAGAATATTCCTCAGGACCTAAAACCTGGCTATCCAGCTCGTCTTTCCATGATGACCTTTCAGCATTTCCCTTCCAATGACCAACACGTGAATCGCTACTTGAATTTCTGTCTACACAGCTTTGGTCATGTCTCCAGGCTTTTCCAGCACCCTCTATTTTTCTTTGGGAGTCTTTATCTTTTACATGATCTGAGTTCATATCTACTGGAATGGAAACACATGCCTCCGAGGATGAAACTTTATCTGTGGGATGAGTTACAAGATTCTCTGAATTGGAGGACATCCACTGGTTTGCAGATGTTCCATCAGAATGAAGAGGGGGCCCAGACCTTGTTATCCCACCATCCACTGGTTCTGATCCAATCTGTAGTCAATGGTGACTTGCTATTAAACATTCAGAAATATAAGCTTTTCTAGGATGATGACAGTCACCAAATTAACCAGAACAACAACAGTTCTATAAAGGAATCATGCAAGTGCATATAGGAAACTGTGCTCCTGCCCAAAACTACCATATAGACTCTCAAAATGGTTAAAGAGGGATTGTAATTTGTACCTACAAATTAATCACTAAGAATAAAATTTGCTCATCTTATTGCTCCTAGTGATTTTCAGGTCAGGGTATGGCCTAATTGATAGCGATGTCTTAACTTGAAAAGGTCTCAAGTTGAAATCCCCTTCGCTAAATTATTAAAAATACAAATGGGAATAGGGTCAGCTAATTTTTTTAAATCATAATCGTTTCTTATTCACATGAAAATTCTTCTTATGGCAATGCTTCAAGAAACTTAAGTCGGCCAAGTCAATTTCAGGAATCTTAAAGCTAACCGAATTTAAAACCTTTAATCAAGGACATTACAATGACAGTTCAATGTGAATGGACACAAATAAAAAAAGGAGGATAATGATCTTAACTACGTTGTCATGTTGATTGTATGACTCCCTCTGAGAATCAAAAACAGAAGAAGAAACAGTCCGAGATGATTGTGAGGAAATATCATCATCATCAGTTAAAGGGGTACTCTCAGTTTCTACATTTATCGATTCAGAAAATGAGCTACTCCCATCCTTGTCAAATGACAGTTCATTTAGAGAGCTGCCTCCCGGTGACGAGCTGGAGCTGCCTTTATCAAATGGCCGGATATTAAAATAAAGCATCGGTTGGCCTGCAATCCTTATCTTTGAACTCTTCTTCAAGTTAATAGGAGTGCTAATGCTTATAGTTTCCCTGATAATCCCATAATCAGCAAGGTTTACAACAGCAGATCCTAAAAGATGACCCTTTGCGTTTTTGTCCCTCCGAGGCTCATACAAGTAGAACTCCAAGCAGTTCTTCGGGAACCTATCACGGTGGCCGCTCCTACGAGATGATTCCGGAGATAAAGTTACCGGAAGCCTGAAAGATTCGCCAAACTCGATTTTTCCATTCCTATTACAAGAAACCAAGGACCCAGAATTCTTATTACCATTATCCCATTGAAGCAATATAGATTGAGGCAAGGGCGAAGCTTGCAATGGTGCCCAAGGACTAATCTCCTTAACACATACAATGTAATGATCCTGATCCGAGACGCGGTTTTTGTTCTTAGTTTTTAA